ATTTTATTCCGTTCCATTTATATTTTTTGTGTTTAAGAACAATTTATTTTTTTATTTTTTCTTATCTAATATTTAAGTAACATTATTTTAGTTTTTGTTATTTTATTTTAATTTGAATTATCTTTTTTTTAATTATATTATTTTATTTATGTTTAATTTATTTCATTTGAATTTATTTTAATGTATTATATTTTATTTAGATTTGCTGTAAGTTATTCGTCTCTGTATATATATTTTTTTATTTTATTTTGTTTTATTTTATTTTATTTTGTTTAATTTAGTTTATTTTATTTTATTTTTTTTATTTTATTTTATTTTATTTTCTTTTATTTTATTTTATTTTATTTTATTTTATTTTATTTTATTTTATTTTGTTAGTTTATTTTATTTAAATTATTTTATTTTATTTTATTTTATTTTAGTTTATTTTATTTTATTAAATATTATTTTGTTTATTTTATTTTAGTTTTTGTTAGTTATTTTGTTGGATATTTTGTCCTGTTTCATTTTAATATATTTTAGCTTTCTGATTTTATTTTAATTTATATTATTTAGTTTAAATTTTTTTATTATATTTTATTTTCTTTTATTTTTTAAGATATAATATTTTATTTGGACTTATTTTAATATGATATATTATATTTTGTTTAATTTTATTAGTCTCTGTTTTTTTCCTTTTTATTTTATTTTGTTTATTTAAGTAATTTTATTTCATTTTACTTAATTTTGTTTTAATTATTATTAAATAATTGTTTTTAATTATTTGTTTTTGTATTTTATTTTTCAAATTGTTTAAATTTTGTTATTTTTCTTATACATAATGTGTATTTTTTATTTTATTTTAACTCATTTTATTTCACTTATTTTAGTCGCAAATAGATATTTTGACTTCCAAGTCACTGCTCAGTTAAAATCTAATTTTGCTCTTATACACTTGAAGTCAAAGCAAATTTAATTAACATCACTCATACGCCCGCGTGCTTACTGACAAAGGGGCGGATTTTTTTTTTATTTTTTTCTTTATTTACCTTTCCCATAAATAGACTTAATTAATCTATAAGTGCTTTTATGGCGATGCCTGTGCCCAGCCGGTGCACTTGAGATATTTATGGCGTTTTTTTTTTTAATAAACAAAACAAAAATTCAAATAGTATTTTGCCGTATGTGAGAGCTACTCTTTAGGCTATGGTTTTCCATAACTCTATGTTCTTACTTCTCTCTCTCCAACGTTTCTTTGCATAGACATAAATCAAGTAAATTGTTTTTGGTGTTCATTAACCGTGTAATTGGCATAATTATGCAGTTAGGCAAGCAGAAGAATAAATTTTTTTGTAATATTCTGTCTATTCGAATTTATTTCTCTTTCAAGCAAATTTAAATTCAGCTAAAAATTCATTAGCTTTCTGCTAAGACATTTATATCTACTTAAGTATTTATCTCCATTATGCCCAAATTTTAACGAGAGTTCAAAGTGAGATTGTTTCAATATCTCATTTTGGCATTTTAATAGCTGTCTTTGTGGAATTTCTGTAAATATTTTCACACAAAATTAATATGTCCTTTTTGAGAAATTCCTTTCTCCTTAACAGCGTTGTACTTGAATGCGTGATGAGGGTCGTCGCCATTTCGTTGCGCTCACTTGATGTTGTAATTAAAATTGGTTGAATTTTTTGGAGAAACGAAGGAAAAGCGCAATATGATAAAGGAGGATGTGCTGCATGGACGGGAATTGTGATATTTTTTGTCAACAATAAAGCTTTGCTCTTGATTAAAATTTTAAAATTTTTGAAAATGCTTTTAATTATTTTTTATTTATTATTGTTTATAATTATATAACTGAGCTTTTCTGATTTCTCTCAATTTTTTATTAAGATTTGAGCTTATTTTTGATGTTTTATTGAGTCTAACAGTTCTATTGAAAGGCAATACAAAAAATTTTCCTCAACTAAAATTTATAATTAATTCTAATTAAAATATATGAATTTGTAACTTCAATCAATTTGAAAAATAGATTTAAACCTGAAATTATTTTCAGAAATATTTAGTTTGAAATTTCAGTTTTTCGATTTTCATTTTAGGTTTTCATATTTGCAGATTTTACCTAAACTTTTAATATGAAATTTAAGCAACTAAGAACAAAAACTCACAAGTGTCTTACTAATAGAGCTTTTCGAAGCTTGTGCAGCTTTTGAATCCATTTTTTATGGCGTTTAGCAGTGATATTCTATGAAAGCATGTCTGATAATTATGAAGGTTCATTGAAGCAAAAGATTTTTGAGCTTTCCTTCTACTTTCCGAAACCATTGCACTATGCCACCATAAATTATAAGACATGCAGAGCTTTCGTTTGAAAGCTTTATAACTTTTTGTTTGAGCTTTCCTGCAGAAAAATTGTGCAATTCAATGAAACTGGAACTTTAGAGAGATTTTTTGTAAAAGCTTCTAAGGTTTTTGTTTCAATGTGCTTCTAAAATATGTAAACATTTTTTTCTAGATGGTAATTTAATATTTTGGTGCTTTGCACTGACAGTTTTTAAGCTTTCTATTTCAGCTTTTTCGAAAAGAACTTTTCGCAAAAATATTTTAAAGGCATTTAAAAGAAAGTAAAGAAAATTTTTATTTTATTAAAATTATGTTAAAAGAGCTTTAACACATATATTTTTCAAGCAAAAATATCCTATTTATCCCGATTTTCTAGTCGTATTATTTACGTCGAAAAAAAAAACAGAAAAATTTAATTTCCCCCTTTTTTATCCAGCTCTCCTTGGAATCTACCATTTATAAAATGAAATTTTCAATTCCAACTCGCCTAAAGGTATGCAAATCATTTACGACTGTATTTCTGTGGAAGAAAACCGTAACCCACAAACAAAGAGCGAGCCAACCAACCAATATTACCATCATCACCTGACCATTTAATCATAATAAATTTTCACGCCAAAATAATAAAAAATAATAAAATTCTGCAAAAAAATAACATAACACAGCCATAGCGATAAATAGCGGTAAAACGAAATGCAGGAAACAGCTAAGGATGTATCCGCATCCGTTGCATATTAGGCTCATGCCATCTGGGGAGGGGTAGAGAGCGGGATTATGGCACTCATCTCGTGTGCAGTTTGTAAAAGTGTTGGAGAATGAACAATAAAAATGCATAAATATAAATAAATAAATAAAGCTATGCATGCATAAAAAAGTTCAACCCTGCTTTCAAGCAAAATAACTCGCTCACTTGTATTGTGTGCAGTTGTTGTACATATTTTCATATATTTCTTGTTACTCACGGTATTATTGTTTATTTCACCTTTCAGTGCACGTGCTAAATTTAACCCTGACCCGGCTTGGTTTGACTCGGTAGAAGGTGGAAGTGCTAAATGCTTTTCCTGCTCTTTTCTCATTTCTTTTCTTTCTCGTGGTCATACAAAATTTCAAAAGCTTTCAGTTTATTTTGCTATGTGTATGAGATTTTTTAAAGGCATATTGCTCATTAAAATTATTTATTTCATTTTATAAAATGTATTTTATCCTTTATATCATTTTCTATATTACACAAAACCTTTAGTTGTTATATTGTGAGCCTCAGAGAAGATATGAAAATGTTGTGAAAGCTATAAAAAAGTTTTTTCGTTGGAACTTTTATTGTTCAAGCTGAATAAAAGCTCACACACATGTTGAAAAAGCAAAAAACGGTCTTTAAAAATCCACACTTTTGCCTCGGTCTCGTTTTAATAATAACCAGTGCTTGTGAAGGAGAAATGAAAACTCTTTGAAAAAAATAAGAATTATATGAAAGTTATAAAATTCTATTTTGACTTAAATCATCATTGGTATATAGTTTTCTGTTACAACCTAAACCTCCTCTCCGTATCTGTATTTGAAAGTTTCAGCTTTCGGAAAATCAATACAAAATACTGGAGCTTTCACACAAAGCTTTCCTTGAACCTTCAGGAATAAAAATTAAATTTTATTTAAATGACTATAAGCTCTAGTAAATTAAATGCAATTTCAAAGCAAAAAGAATACGAAAGCTTTTACGCCCAACCTCTTTTTTTGTAGTAATTACATATGTTATTTTAGATAATAATTTAATATTAACGGTTTTAAACCATTTATTAAATATTTACATCATCCATTTGATTTAACTTATATCTGTAAAAGCTTTAGAAAGCTAAAAATTTCAGAAACTAAATTCAAAATACTGGAGCTTTTATATAGAGCTTTCTTCAAAAGCTTCAAGCAAAACATCAGATATTTTTCAAGTGTCTTTCGAAACCAATAAATTTGCGTAATTTCAAAATGAAAAAATATTGAAACTTTTTCCAAAAACTATACAGCTTTTTTCAGTCACCTCTTCAAATAAATGCCTAATACATCATGGGTTTTATAGATAACAAGAAAAATCTTTAGTTATAAAATATTTTATAGACCTCAAAATTTATATGGAATTAATATTTTATATTAAATTTTAGCGCTTTTAATATAATATATAAATTCCATACAAATTTTGAACTCTACAAAATATTTAAGCTTAAAAAAATTGGTTTGGCCTAAAAGCTCAAGTTAAAAGTAAATTTAAATTAAAAAAAACTTTTTTTTTATATATGCTTATATATAGTAAAAATTAATTTTTTAAAGCAACTAAAAGTTCACACGAGCTTTTAGCTCCACTTGAAGTTTCTTAGCATTTCGCTTACTGTTGAAATTACTGTAATCGAAAATTTGCCGAATTTATACTCATAATGGACAAAACGAATATGATTTATTGCTTTAGCTTAAATTATCTGAAAGCTCGATGTGCTACCTCAAGCTCCTTATGCTTTAATACAGATTTTTTCATTCGAAATTATAACTTTTGTACTTACAGTTCTTTTTCCGAATATTACTGCTTTTTAGTCCAAACTTTTCACGATTAAATAATTTAAACTTAAAGCTCTGTGTGAAATTTTAAGCTTATCATGTGTCCCAGAGAGCTTTTTTGTTTGTTATCAGGAAAATTCCAGTTTTCGTTTGCCATTGATCTATTTAGTGTTTTATTAGAGCACAGCTTTTTTTCTTAGAATTTCTCAAATCAGGACTCAATAAGCATATTTCTTTCAAGTGAAATGCCCAACTTATGAACTAACAAAGGATAATATAAAATGTAAATCATAATCAAAATAGCGCATTGAATGGTAGCAATTATATAATTTCTAAGTATAAAATTAAATTATGAAGGATTCAAAAATTTCTGTTTTACGTGTTTACATTTTTCAACGCCCAGCTTAAGAACTACGTTATTAATTATTCGAAAAAACAAGGAATTATTTAACAACCCTAATATTATATATTGAAAGTCGTGAACAGCTTTTTTTTTTTTGATAAATTTAGTGAGTCATATGATTTTCGCATATCGCAAGCTTAGTTCACAAGGCGGAACTTAATGGCACGTAGTACGGGGTATTTGTCGCCAGTGCAGGAACCACGAAAGTCGTCAAAGGACAAGTCGAACAGCGCTACGCCACCCAAATTGAATTGACGCACATAACCGGCCTTCTCTGCGGCTGTGTCTGGATCATCATAGCCAATCCACAAGCCATTGCCGCTGCTCTTCTCATCCGAACGGTAAGCATAATTGCCAGTACGCCTCGAGGGATCTCCGACCTTTGTAAGTGCCAGATTGGCACCTTTGCCATAAGCATTATTGGTATTCGGCAATAGAGCGCACACTTCGGGCCAGCTGTAGAGACCTTTGATTTGTGTGTTCGGCCCCGCGGGTGCTTCATTTTCCACTTTAGCCACCGGTGGCACGCCAGTCTCACCAGAATCATCCGTCATCTTCCAAACGCGTCCATAAGCGGGCACGCCGACATTCAACTTGGATGCGGGGCAATTGTTACGCAGCCAATATTGCACTTGATAGTGCACGTTGAATTGTGGATTGCGTTCGGGCAGTTCATAGAGTGGTGCGGGCAAATCGGCTACTTCGGGATTGCGTTCGGGTGTGTAGAAATCGAAAACGCCCAAGTTGACAAAGTCCAGATAGTTGACAATAGCGGGCACATCGTAGAACACTAGGTAGAGAGAAAGGAAAAATAAGAAAAAAATTCATATATCTTTAAGTAGCCGCAACCAAACTTACACGATGAGTTGACATTCGGCAACACAGTAGCCGACAATAACAAATTATCTGGTCTGAACTCGTTCTTCACATCACGCAACAAAGCGGTGAATTGTTCCTTATGCTCCTCAGATTTTTCATCAACTATGTGATCGCCAGTGAAGACTTTCTTGAAACCTTTCCACAAGCTACCAATGCCACCGTGCACCTTCTTTGGTTTGTTCTTTGGGAATTGCCAGGCAATATCGAGTCCATCGAAACCGTAAGATTTCACCAACGCATAGGCGCTATTAATGAAGCGTGCGCGCCCAAGAGGGCTCTCCAACAGTTCGAGATATTTGTTGGGCAAATCTTTAGCATCTTCGCTTGTCTCAATATCCTTATCACCACCCAAGCCAAGTAACACCTTCAAGGCGGGATATTTACGCTTTAGGCGTGTAACAGTGCGATAAAGACCTTTACCCAAATCCAAGTCAAGGTTTTGGTTGAGCGAGACAGCTTTGTGTGTGTCACGTTCAATGCCTGCGTAACCGTAGACTAGATAGTCGCAGAATTGCATAGCCGGCTCGAGATCATCAATAATCAGTTTGCCGAGTCCTGATGAGAGAAGAGGAGGAAGAATTAATAATATAATAGACAAATATTTAAATTAAACAAAATAAAGATATTTTACATTATTTTAATTAATTTTATTTTACTTTATTTTATTTTTTTTTTTTATCAGGGCTTTTTTATTTTATTTTACTGAATTTCAATTTATATTATTTTTATATATTTTTATGTCATTCATTTTATTTTATTTCATTATATTTTATTTTCATATGTATTTATTTAATTGGTTTTTTAGTTTAATTTTATTTAAAATTTATTTATTTAATTTTGTTTACCTCTTTTTTATTGTAATTTATTTTATTTATTTATTTTTTTTTTGTGTTACTTATGATTTTATTTTAATCCTTCATTTAATTCAATTATTTTAATTTTATTTAATTTACTTCTTTTTTTTGTTTTTACATTATTTTAATTATTTTTATTTTACTTAATTTTGTTCTAGTTTATTAAGTTTTACTTTGAATTATTTTCGTTTAATTAATTTAATTCCTTTTCATATCATTTCTTTTTATTTTATATATTTTTTAATGTTATTTTGCATTTTATTATTTATTTTAATTCAATTTAATTTAATGTATTCTAATATATTTTGGTTTTATTTTATTTTATATTTATATTTTTATTTTAATTATTTTTTATTTGAATTTTCAATTTCAATTTATCATTTAATTTCAATTTAATTCAATCTTTATTTATTATCTTTATTTTTTTAATTTTGTACCATTTAAATTTTTTTTATAACTAATTTTCTTTTTAATAATAATCTTGTTTTATTTTTTTTATTTCAGTTTAATATATTTTATTTAATTATTATTTTATTTTAAATTCAAATTAAATTATTTTATACCATTTTAGTATATTTATTATTTTATTGCGATTAATATATTTTATTTTAATGCATTTTATTTTTGTTTAATTCAATTTTTTGTATTACTCAAATGTCTGTTCAGCCAACAGGAAGGTTTTTACAAAAACTTGTACATTTTCCTCGAGGTATTGGACATGTACTCCTCATTTTTCTGCTAGAATTAACTTTCTTTTTGTTTTATTAGTACTTTTCATTTTAGAAACATAAATTAATTTATTTTATATACTCCGAAAATATTTCTTTCCAATTCCCACTTCACACTCAATATCGTCTTAATCTATTACGCAACAAGCAGTTTCTTCACATACAAACAGTCAAGCTTGTTCTTTAAAACCGGTTACTCACCCTCCTTAACAAAACTCGAAGAGTCATAGTAGCAGACCATATGTTTCTTCGGTCCACCCGGTGCCTGATTGCCCACTTTGTTGGCCAAAGTGGCGGCAATGATGAGTGAAAACACCAAAAGGATTTTCATACTCAAAGCCTGTATTTTTTCACCCACACACAGAAAACACTAACAATGACAAAAACAAAAAACGCAGGAAAAATTTTGAAAACAAAACACAAAACAATTACACGTACACAAACTTCAGCGGTTAGAAGCGGTCTTCACCAAGCTTCGTTCGAACTGAAACTGATCACACTAAAGCGGCGATCGCAGGCTGGAAGGCCAATTGAAATAGAAAACGGAATGACAAATTGCTAAAGCGATAATGAAAAAGAAAAAAAAAAATAAAGTAAAAAAATTAATAAAAAATTATAAAAAAAATACATAAAGATTGAAAGTAACAACAACATGTGTGGTGTTAAAAGCAGCAACGGTAGTTGGGTTCGAAAAGTCGCGATCTCGTCATATATACATACTTTTACATATATGATCGCCATCTCAGTTTCGCTGCTTCTACGCATTCCTAAATAGTTTTGTTTTGTTGTTTTGCGGCGTTCGTTGTTGGGTTTTATGCATATTATATTTATGATGTTTCTGTTTGTTTGTTTCGCTGTCAAGCTTAATATTTATGTATGTAAATTTTGTTAAAATTCCACGTAGCGTTAATTTTAATTCCTTTTTTTTAATTTTCGCTGATATTTATTTATTTATTATTATTTATTTTTATTTTGTGATTTTTTTTCGAAGATTTTACTTTTCTGTATTTCGCTTATCACTTTTAGGCTTGGCTCGTCATTCGCCTTTGTTCAAAGTGTTTGTCTAAAAAATTAGCAAAAAAGTTGAGCACGTCATTAATGGTGAAACAAAATTGTTAATGCGAATTTTCGTCGATTTTATATCTCAAAATCTGTGTAAGGTTTTATGATAAATGCAAATATGTGTAATTTCTTAATGTCTTCTTGACTTGCATAAAACTAAATTTCACTGCTTTTGCGTAATTTCGTGGTTTCAATTAAATTTATAAGTACAATGAGAGTTGAGTAAATACTTATGATAAATAAAATTGTTCAAATAATAGAAAAAAAAATTTTAAATTGTAAATTGGTGACTATTTTGCTGAAATTAAGTGATTCCTCAATTCATGAAGGCATATAATACCCAGCATAGTTGTACGGTTAAATATAAATTCATTAAGAAACTGATGAGAAATAATAAACTTATAACAATAGACAGTTAAGAGTTATCAGAGAAGACATTTGATACTGCTTTGCAATCAAATAATTTTTTTATTTTATTTTATTTATTTATTTTTTTTTCTTATTTAAATTTTTTTTTTGTTTTACTCCATCTTATTTTATTTTATTTTATTGTATTTTATTTTATTTTATTTTGTTTTATTTTATTTTATTTTATTTTATTTTAATTCATTTTATTTTATTTTATAATGTTGTTTTAATTTATTTTATTTAATGTTATTTTATGATGTACTTTATTATATCTTACCTTTTTTTATTTGATTTACTGATTTTTTATTTAATTTTTGCTTTATATAATGCTATTTTGTTTTCGTTTCATATATTTATTTTTATAAGGAGTATTTTAGTTAACTTTATTATTTTATTATATTTTAATATGTTTTTTTTTATTTAAATTTAGGTTATATTATACTTTTTTTCCAATTTATTTGATTTTATTTTATCTTATTGTATTTCGCAAAAATTTATTTCACTTATTTTTATTTTATTATACATATATATCATTTTTATTATTATTATCTTATTTTATTTTAGTTTTGTAGTAATTTTTTTATCTTAGTTTTTGTTATTTTCCTTCCTTTATTTAAGTTAATTTACATTAGTTGAATTAATTGTTTATATTTCAAATGTATGTGGTATATCCATCAATAAAAGTTATCGGCAACTCAATATATTATATTCATTAGAGGAATCTCGCTTTTCCTATTGCATTTCATTTAAAAAATAGTTTTAAATTTTTATAACCTCAAGTAGCGCAAGCAAAACAATAAATTTTTAAGTAGGAAGTAATAACAAGAAATAATTGATTAGTCTATTTTCAATAATGAGGCAACTTGCTAGCACCTCGTAATCCATTTTAACAGCTTTAAAAAATATAATATAAAAATAAAGCCTTATAAATACGCAAATTGCTCATCTTTGAAGAAAAAATTCTTTAATTGAACTCATTTCGCTGGAAGAAATTATCGCATCTCATGTAATTTCTAAGTCCGACACTCTTTATAATTATCTTTATGTCACTTGTGTGCACACTTGAATGCACAATATATAATATAATAACTTATACATATATAATAATTATGTGCCTCTATATGGTCCAAGCAAGTTGTTGTTGCCTCCTTACTACATACACACGCACACACACACACACACTCACAGAGAGTTAGCTGATAATTTCATATCTCGCTTAAGTCGCAAAGCGTCAACATTTATTATTTGACCCCAACAACTGATTAGCTAAAGAAGACAGCAGACGACGGACGGCGGGCAGCAAACGATGTGTTTATTCTAAATGTAAATATATACAGATGTTTCTATGCACATATAAATATTATGTGTCCATATATGCGTATATGTACCCAATAGTAGACATTTTTGTAGGCGTAACATAAGTGGGAGTAGAATTTTAGTACGAGGCTCTCTGTACATAAATTTAGCATCGCTGTTAAAGTGCTATGTTGTCAATAGTGGGGATGGAACAGTGCTATTAGGTTAGTATTTGACCTATGCTGGATTAACAGTCTGTATCAAAATAGTTCTAATGTAAAATTTTATATAATAATTACGATTTCTATGGTTTATTTATATCATATATAATATTATTTCTTCATATTACATATACATATATTTATTTTCTACCGTCTAGGCTCTGTTGACAGCTAATTAAAGCTGATCTATATTTATTAACAGATTAGCGATTGTTTTTGTGTTCATATGACTATGTCAACTTGGTAAATATTCGAACAAAAATATTTTTATAATCTCAGACCCTGCCATACACAAAACTAACTAAATACAAGCAAAACGATGACGATTTGGAAAATTTTATTAGCTTTTCTCGTTACCGTTGCGTGGCTTGTAAACATATACCAATACACAAAAATACTTTAATACTTCGCATCTATTAATAGTATTTTTAACTGATTCGCACAATAAAATATATTTCCCACATTTTTATTTGTAATTTTTTTTAACTTCACCACTTTCATACTCATTTATGCATATATGAATCTATCCATTAAGGTGAAACACACTGATATCTAACGGTATCCACATTATTTACTTACAATTGTTGTTGTTGCTTTGTACACAAATATTTCTAAAGCTGAATTATTTACCCTTTCAAATGTGGATTTATTTATTATTGCTCTTGAACGTAAGGGTTCGTACAAATAAATGTAAATATATTCGGTAATTCTAATGTATTTATGTATATTGGTTCATATTGATTATTGGCATTCAGTTTATTTAGGACAAACATAACAAACAATTTGTCAGTAGACGATATAAACAATCAAAGTTATTATTTGCATTCATTTACTGAATTTGAATTTTGTTTCATTAAAATAACACAAAACAACAAAAAAATATAAAAAATTTAGTCATACAAAATGAGATAAAAAAATAAATTAAATAAAATAAATTAAAAAATAGAATAAAATAAAATAAAGAAAATATAATTACAAATATATGAGCAACAATTAATAAAAAAATAAAAATAAATCAAGTAAAATATAATGAGATAAAATAAATAAAATTAACTAAAATGAATACATAGAAAAGAAAGAAAATAAAATAGAACAAAATAAAAATAAAAATATATATAATAATTCCCAAAAAAACAATAAAATATAGAAAATTAAAATAATCAAATAATATGAAATGAAATATTAAAACGAAATAAAATAAAATAACAAAATTAAATTAAATGCGAAAAATAAAAAAAAAATAAATGAATTGAATAAAATAAAATAAAAAACATAATCAATATAATAAAAAAATTAAATTAAATTAGAAAATTTTACTAAATAAAATGAAAAAAAATATATATAATTAAAAAAAAATAAAATAAAGGAAAATAAGAAAAACTAAAAAAAGTTAAATAAAATGAAATGAAATGAATTGAAATAGAATAAGAAAATATAAAATAAAATAAGATAAAAAAAAAAATAAAAAAATAAAAAGAATTAAATACTCTACTAAAATATAAAATGGAATGAAGCAAAATAATATAAAATTAAGGAAAAACTACATGAAATAAATGAAAATAAAATTGTAAAGAAATAAAAAAATGAAATAAAACGAATTGAAATAAAATAAAATAAATTAAAATAAAATAAAAAAAATGAAATAAAATAAGGCAAAATAAAATAAAAATGAAATAAAGCAAAATTAAAGAAAAACTACATAAAATAAATGAAAAGAAATTATATAAAAAATAAAATAAAATAAAATGAAATGAAATAAAATAAAATAAAATAAAATAAAATAAAATAAAATAAAATGAAATGAAATGAAATGAAATGAAATGAAATGAAATGAAATGAAATGAAATGAAATAAAATAAAATAAAATAAAATAAAATAAAATAAAATAAAATAAAATAAAATAAAATAAAATAAAATAAAATAAAATAAAATAAAATAAATAAATAAGACAAAATAAAATAAAATAAAATAAAATTAAATAAAATAAAATAAAATAAAATTTAGAGAAACTGAAAAAAGAAATGAAGAAAAACGCTCACAACAGCAAACATTGCTTGTAATTATTACCGTAGTTACAAGGCAATAGAAAAGTGATAAAAAAGTAATTAAGCATATGCGTGCGGCATATATAAACAAACAGAGAGTTTATATTGTTGAACTCACAAAAATACTCAGGCATAAATCGAAAATACAAAATTTTGCTGTTTACAGAGGTTTGAGTTGATTGGCGCACACATTCAAAGAAGCTTCTCTTTCAATATACAAGTAAGCGCATCCTCAACATTTGATATTGATTGCATACGACTTTCTTAACAAAATTTTATGACGCTTTAAATTCAAACGTGAAATTATCCTTTAGCAAATTTTTAAGGTTCAAATATGTGCATTTTTTTGTAGCCGCGCTCTTCTCTAATGAAATATCAAAATGCTATTGCTGATTGGTAGTAAAGTAAGCAAAAACAAAAATTCAGGTTAAAAACTCCAATTGGCCTCAAAAGCAGCTGAAATCTTCTTGTTTTTTTAT